AAATAATAATTTATTAATACTTACTCCTTTTTCAGGAATACTTTTTCCGAGTTACGAGGACGACGCAGCGTTTTGTACGCCACGTCGTACTCTCATACATTCTGTTGTTGTGCCGACTCGGGCGGCACCTAGTTTTCCCGAGTTAATCAGGGCATGCGCGGGCAACATCTAGTCAACCCGTGACAACATCTGAGTTGGACAGCTTTATAAAGATATGTACCCTTATTATTGAACATACTCTACTCCTTACTCACAATCCTTTCACGAAATTCAGGATGACAAAACATGTTTGGCTAAACAGGGCACAGACATGAAAGAACTGTACCAAGTACCTCTTGTGCTTTCAGAATGAAAATCCTTGTCAACATATTACCGCAACCAAAAATTCAAGAAAAAAGCCAAGACACTTCACAGGAGTAACTCCTTGTAATTGTTCCAAGCACAAAAGATCAGAGTGATCAAGACAAATCACACCTGAAGTGCATTTCAAATATTGAAGAAGAAACGAAGGTTCACAAAACCAGCACAAACCTGGTCGCAATATTTGTCAGCCAGCCAGGCGTTGGAGCACAAGTGCGCGCAATAAGGGCCGTCGACGTCGTCACCCCAGCCATTCCAGTCATGGTCGACCAGAGACGGAGAAACGCCGTTGGGCAAAGTACCGTCGTTGACGTCGCAATCCCCGCCGTCGAACTGACACACGGAAATATTACAGGCCAAATCGCAGGCCCCGTCGTGAATCCACGCTTCAGGACACCCTGGGTCGCATAGCTGGACATCCCAACTCAAGTAAACCTGCGGGGGGAATGCGCAAATAGATTAATTTTTAGTTTTTTCTGCATCTAGTTTTCACTTTTTCAAAATATTTTTATGGTGGCTTTATTTAAAAAAAAAAAAAAAGGACATACGCAGTATTCCCAGAAAAAAAAAATCCCTTACCCTCAGACCCCAAATCTCAGAACAAAAATCCAGGGAACAATCCAAGATGTGCCGAAGATTCATACGGTTTCTTCAGTATTAATTTTTCCTTCCTCTCAAAGAAGGGTTAGTGGATTGAAAAAAAAAAAGGCAGGGACATACAAAGCATTTCGAAAAAACACATTGAACTTAACAAAAACCCTAACCTTCTAACCCCGAATCTGATAATTAAAAATGCTCGCGCCAAATTTCCAGAATGTGCATAACGAATAATTTTGTTCCGTTGGTATCCATCTTTAGAAGTTTTCACGACAAAAAAAAATCTTGATGGATTGATTAAAAAAGGATGGACGTCATTTGTTTTTGCATTTAAAAAAAAAACGAAGAATTATAAAAAAAAACTCACCTTCTGACCCCGAATATCAGAATAAAAATCCTCGGGCCACACTTCCTTCCCAAATAAGACGTCGTCATTGAGGTACAAGAACTTGTCACTCAGTCCAGGTATTCTGTGAAGGTGGGATTCGATCGCTGGACTGCTGAACGACGGCAAATGAGACTTGTTGGGGAATATTTCCTCGTGCGTGACGACCGTGATCCGTGGGTTGTCCAAGTTGAGCCAGTGCGGGATTTGACCCGCCGTCACCAGGAATACTTTTCTCACCCAGGGTGCGTGGGTTTCGACGGAACGCAACGAGTATCTCAACTCCTGGAAATGTGGAAAAAGCCAAGTATGCATTATTCAGAAAATGAACTCACGATGTCATTAAATATTTGCTTCAGTTCCGACACTGTTATTATTCTTTGAGAGGAAAATACGGCAGCTCGAGTAAAAATTAACGTGGGTGCACTAATACCGAAAGTTCAGTAATCCGTTCCTGGATTCTATGTGCAATTATCGTAATGTGAAACAATATTTCCCTTAAGGTTACCATATATTTAGTTAATGCATTCCATTTGCACCCTGAAACCCCATATTAACTGCATATTATTTTTGGTGTTCCGCATAAATTCTTGAATTTAAAATTTAATAGCGTTAAATTTACCCGATCGTGTCAAGTTTTTGCCATTACTTCGCTGAATTTTCAAAAACAAGAGAAGGCAAAACCATACCCCTTCTTCCAAATTTTTTCGATTTTGTTGAAATTTTCCTGATGCTTTAGTCCAAAATTTACAAAAATTCGTGGATTCTCCAGCCAAAAAGGTGGGTAGGTGAAATAATTTCGTCATGTGAGTCCCGTTTTCCATGTGAGAATTTTCGCAATGCAGATTTTCCCAAGGGTGAGTCTTCGGTTATACGAGGACTCACTGTTCAATGCATTTTAGCCACTTCCGTTTGTTCTGCATGGATAAATATTCAGGTACGGTACCTTCAATCAGATGCCCAGATAAGAAATGTTATTTTTAAAATGTTGTGAAAATTAGAAAGATTATGTTTCATTCAAACCCTCGGCAGCACTCGAAAAATGAGCTGACTACTGTGTCCTCCACCCCAACGTGAAATCGCACATCAAACCCAACCCAATCAAAAAATATTTAATGGAAAAAGAAACCAACATCGTTGTCTCTGAATCTCTGTGGCCCGGCATCGGCCAAAGAGTCCAGTAAAGGACTGTTTCTCAGCAACAGGAACCCCTTCAACGCCACGCTCCCCGCCACAATCGGTTCTCTTTGCAGAAAATCCTCAGCCGCCCTCACTGACGCGAACGTGATGACCGCCACTTTTTCCGCATGATTCGGAAAAACATTGACCACTTCCGAACGCAAATCCGGCGGCACCAATTTCATAGTCAGGTTCCCGTGTCTCAAACTTTCCTTGGATGTTTTTGTCAACAACACCACGTTGCTCGAGGCTTCGGTGAACGGTACATTCACATCTGCAAAGGAAATACTGTACAGTCGAAACTCTTCAAGTCGAAGTTCAAGAGACCAGCAAAAAAATCGAGTCAGGAAGGTTTCGAATGAGGGAAAATGATATCCTTTTTTGGGGGGAGGGGGGGGGGGGGGGGGGGGAAGGGCAAGTTTTCTTTTCTTC